AAAGAAGGATCACCTGGTGTCATTTACGCCACACCTATTTCTAATGATGTGAAGACTTCAAGTGGCATTCCCAGCCAATATTAAGAATTTCAAGATGTATTTGAGAAGAAGAATGCAAATACTCTTCCAAAACATCATTTCTATTATTCAATTAACCTTCAAGAAGAAATGCAACCACCATTTGGACAAATCTATAGTTTATCACAAAATGAATTGATTGAACTCAATGAATATATTAAAGAAAATCTAGCCAAAAATTTCATATGCCATTCCAAATTACCAATAGGAGCTCTAAACTTATTTGTGAAGAAGAAAGATAGATCATTGCAGATGTATATTGATTATCGAGGACTCAATAAGTTCACCATCAAGAATAGGTACCCTCTACTTTTGATGTCCGGACTTCTTGATCAATTAAATCAAGCTAAGATCTACACAAAAATAGATCTATAGAGAGCATATAATCTAATACGTATTAAAGAAAGATATGAATGGAAGACTACATTTCAAACTAGGTATGGATATTTTAAATATAATGTCATGCCTTTTGGACTTACAAATGCGCTTGCAGCTTTTCAACATCTAATGAATGTTATTTTTTTAGAGTTTTTAGATGATTTTGTTGTATATTATCTATACAACATCTTGATATATTCTAAGAACACAGATGAACATGAACTTCATGTTCATCATGTGTTATAAAAATTAAGAGATGTGAGACTCTATGCCAAGATAGAGAAGTATGTATTCTACACTACTTAAGTTGACTTCTTAGGATACATCATTTCAAATGATGGACTTATGATGGATCCTAAGAAAGTTTAAATAATTATAAATTAGAAGATTTTAAAAATAGTAAGAGATGTCTAGTACTTTTTGGACTTTGCCAACTATTATCACATCTTTATCAAAGACTTTTCTTGAGTTACAGCTCCATTTACACGTTTGACTTGTAAAGACAAACTTTAGTGGAGCAAAGAAGTTGAAGCATGTTTTGAAACTTTGAAGTCATCTTTTATTTTTGCATCAATCTTGTATTGCATTAACTTTTCTAAGGCATTTTCTATGGAAACAAATGCATGAGACTTTGATTTAGGTGTTATATTATGACAAATGGGAACAGATAATAAACTTCATTTAGTAGCTTTTTATTCAAGAAAATTTTTAGTAGTCAAGATTAACTATGAAATCCATGACAAAGAACTTCTTGCAATCATAGATCCATTTCAAGAATGGCATCATTATCGAGAAGGCTTTTCTAATCCAATCACCGTATATATGGATCATAAGAATTTCAAGTATTTCATATCAAAATGTGTTTTAAATTGTTGCTAAGCCCATTGGAACATGTCTTCATTAAGATTTGATTTCAAGATCACATATTGATCCAAAAAACAACAAGGTTTGTCAGAAGTCTTTTCTAGATGTTCTTATCTTGTACCAAAAGAAGGAGATGCATCTTTTGATCAGCAAAGAATAATTTTCTTGAAGCTAGAGCATTTTCATCTTCGAGTAATGAAATCAACATTGATTGTTGATTTGACCCTTGTGAAATAAATCCAATCAAGTATGTCTTCTGATCTTCTTATTTATAATATCAAGAATCATTCTTTTAAGTTTCAAGATACTTCTAAGTTTGAGTTTAAAAATAATATACTCTATTTCAAAGGTCGATTATATGTTCCAAAAAGAAAAGCACAATTACGTGTTCTTCAAGTATGTCACGACTTTCCAATAGCACAATATTTTGAATACAACAAGACTTTGGAGCTTATTTCCAGAGATTTTTGGTGGCTACAAATGTGGAAGGGTGTGAAAGACTTTGTTCAGTCATGCGATATTTGTTCAAGATCAAAAACTCCTCGTCATTGACCTTACGGACTTCTTCAACCATTACTTACTCCAAAACAATCATGGTCTTCTGTTTCTATGGATTTCATCACGGATCTTCCAACCTGAGGTTCTTATGACTCTATATTTGTGATAGTAGATCGTTTTACCAAGATGGGATATTTTGTACTATGTATAAAATCTATCACAGGTGAAGAAACAACTAAGCTCTTTCTTGACAACATCTATTGCTATAATGGATTATCCAAGGAAATTATATCTGATAGGAGAATTCAGTTTGTATCAAGATTTTGGCGGACTCTTTTCAAGATTCTAAAAGTGGATGTAAAACTATCTTTGACATTCCATCCTCAAACTGATCAACAAACAAAGCATATTAATCAAGATTTGGAACAGTATTTAAGATGTACCATCAACTACCAACAAGATGATTGGACAACTCTTTTGCCATTGGCAGAGTTTACTTATAATAATACAATATATTCTTTTTTAAAACAAAAATCTTTCTTTACTAATTATAGTTATCATCCATGACTTGATACTTTTGACTTTTGAAAAGTTGATAATCCTATAGTGGAAGATTTGATAAATTATTTGTCGGAGCTACATGCAACAATGAAGGCATAGTTAAAAGAAGCTCAAAAATAACAAAAGATGAATGCGGATGTCTATAAAAAGGAACAACCACCATTCCACATAGGTAATAAGGTATGGTTACTTCGTCGCAATATGAAGACCACTCAACTTTGTGACAAGTTGGACTATCGTAGGCTTGGACCATTTCCTATTTCTGCACAAATCAATCTAGTTGCATATCGTTTACATCTATCGGAGTCAATGAAAATCTATCTAATATTCCATATGTCTCTTCTTGAATCATACAAAATAGTGGACATACTAAGAAGAAGACAAGTTCCACCTCTTCCTATAGAAGTCAACAATAATGAAGAATTTGAAGTAGAAGAAGTCCTAAGTTCAAGGCGATGCCAAAATAAATTAGAATATCTTATCCATTGGTATGGATATGATATTAGTGAATGTACATGGAAGCCAGTAAAGAATCTTGCAAATGCAATAAAGGCGATGGAGGCTTTTTATCAACGACATCTATCAAAATCAAAATAAAGATCTTCCTTATAAAAAAAATAAGATCTAAGCAAGATAATATTCTACTTTCAATCCTTGTTTGTAGCTTCTTTGTAGTTGTGACGTCAAAGAGATAGAAAACCAACAACCAACAGATTTGACTAAAGAGCCTTTGTTTGCTGACCTATCGGATAAAACATTGTGATTGTCACAACCTTCAAGACGATGTAATCGAGATGAAGATTCTCAAGAATGACATATCTTTCTTTGAATAGATAGCAAAATACAATGTACTTGGTATCACAACCTTGGAAGAGGCTCCAAATATTTGGTAATTTTATTAGAGGTAGGAACAACTCCTGATAGTATTTCAAATATTTTATTTGAAAGAAGTTATGAAGGCTTCAATAATAATCAAATAATAGGGTGGTCTTCCCGCCCTGGTATGAGACACTATCAATGGTTGAGAGGCCCTATCAACCATCTTCGAAGAGAACAAAGAACTGAGTATGAGACAAATATAATTCGTCGCATCATAGATTTTCTCAACATATGATGATCGCTCCTTGTAGAATTCGTTCCTAAAAGGTGGGTAATGTCACGGATATACACATGTAAGCCAATAATTACCTATATAAATAAGTAGAAGTAAGTAGAAATAAACAAAAGTAAGTTAATTCTATAATATCTTCTATAGAAGTTTTTTAGAAGCTTCATAGACACATCTTTGACTTTATACGTATCTTTAATTGACTTTTTGGGTTAGAAACATGGTCAACAAGTTGGCTATGTACCACACATGTTGTTAGCTTGAAGACCAAGCTAACTATATGGCCTACATATAGAAAAACTTGCCTTGTAAGTTAAGACATGTGTCCTACAAAGTCAACACATATTGGAAGTCCTATAGAACATCACCACATAGTTCCTAATTAGATAGTATATATAGAGGCAAGAGTGAAGCCTTCTTCACTTTTGTCAATTCCTTTCTTACTTCTAATCCAATTTCAAGAGTCTCAAGTTTTCTTATCTTTTGGTAATAAGCCATTTCAGTTTCTTTTTAATATATGTACTTTCTTTTTTTCTATTTTGTTCCTCTTTCTTTGACATGTATTTTATTGATTTATGCATCATCTTTTATTTCATGTCTTTAACAAAATCATCTAAAGCCTCTTAGAACCTTCTAAGATCTCCTATGACCTTCTAGAACTTTCTAAGAACCTATTAGAACCTTTTAGAATCTTCTTAGAATCCATTGGAACCCTCTAGAACCTTCTAGAATCTCCTAAAATCTTTTGGATCCTTCTTAGATCCTATTGAAATTTTTTGGAACCTTCTTCAATTGTATATCTACGACATCACTTCATCTTCTACCTTTGAGGTCTCCGACAAGCAATGTTGCAGCAAGCTAATATATGCCCAAGAAGTTGAAGATCTATCGCATGGTGTCCACTATATATTCTAGTTGTTTTTCACAAGATAAATGATTCATAGGCCCTTGTAGCCATTGATAGTACTTCAAGCCTTCTCCTTGTGATTAAGCATGAACTTTGATATCTTCATTATAGAATTGTCTTGCAAACACTCTTTCTGGACGTCCTTCATGGATAGATTCTACTTCAAACATAATTATTAGGAACCTATTACTAGGTATCTTTTCACGTTGTCATGTTGTGATATGATTATATGATGAAAATATGACTAAAAATGATTTTAAATTATTACTCTATTATATTAGTTCAACAAGATTTCAAAATACTTTAATAAGACTTTTATGAAAGTCTCTTAGCCTATTTTTTTGTCTTAATAGCAAGGGGATAAAAGTTAGTTGGTTTTTTACTGCCTTAAAAAGGCCATAAATTGATAAAATTAGGATAGAAGAGGTAAATGGTTCATATGCTTGATATTAGGATCAAGTTGCAGGTAGGATTGGCTAAAAAATCCTTAGGATAGGTTAGATTGATACCCAGGGATTGAGTGTTTGTATGACAGGGTTGAAATTAGACCTCAAGTCACTAAAATGACAGCCTAGGGCAAATTAGGGATTCATTCAAAGATTGGAGGTTCATGCCTTCAAGCCTGCTGAATACTGACAACTTTCCTGCACCTTTTACATTGATTTGGTGAGAGATGCGGACTTAGTTTTTTGTTTGCAAAATAATTGTCATTTTCTAAAGGAATTAAATATCACGTCAATTCTTCCCACCTTTAATGTTCACAGCTTGGGTTATTCCTCAATACAATTGAGTGTGCTGTTCCTGCTTCAGGTTGTTATTCAGTCGTGACGCTGTTGCACATGGCACTGCATATCCGGTGGATCAATGAAATTTGAGAGGAAATGACGAGATTCGCTGGACAAGATTTTAAGAGCAGAGGTTTAGAACCTATGGGTGCAATCGGACAGAACTGAGTTTTATCTGATAGCAGATTCGTGCGAAATTGGCATTTAGCAATGACTTTCCTTGGAGTACTCTCTGGCCCTAAGATGGGATACGGGCTGGGAATCAAAGAGAATGGGGAGAAAGCGAAGTATCCGGCTCACAGGTTTCGCTCGCGGTGTATCTTTATTTTACTCACTATCGTCTTCTGGTGGGCGCTGTTGATGGTGCATTTCTCCTTCCATTATCGCTCCTCCCCAGTGCAGTCATCCATTGGAGACGTCATGATTTCCGTGCAGACTCAGGACTCCATGTCGAAGTCACTCTCAAGGGGGCTTTCAACCGACTCAACTTATGACTCTAGCGCCGGTGATTCTTCTGAAACAGAAAAAATGGTTCAGAAAAAATGGCTCAAAGATGGAGATGTACATCACGTCAACGAAAGACCGGACATGGAAATCATGAATGATCAAGTAGATGTTGACGACGACACGCCTCTCGAGATCAAGTCAGTGGAATCCCATTTTGACGAAGGAGATCCCACGATGGAGCAACCCATTCCTGGTTGCGAAGGTCGGTATGTCTACGTGTATGAGATGGACCCATACTTCAACGAGGATATGGTTGAACATTGCGACAAACTTAACATTTGGAACAACTGGTGTCCAAGTGTGTCCAACGAAGGTCTGGGTCCTCCAATGGTGAATACGGATAATGTGTTCTCTGACTCAGACTGGTACGAAACGAACCAGTTCATGCTGGAACGGATTTTTCACAACAGATTGAAGAGATACAAGTGCTTGACGAAGGACTCCAGTCGAGCCGCTGCGGTTTTTGTGCCATTCTACGCCGGTTTTGAAATTTCCACCAAATTGTGGAGGGCTAATATTAGTGAGCGGGACGCTGCTCCAGCAAGGTTGTATAGCTGGCTCGCCGAGCAGCCCGAGTGGAAGAGGTACAATGGAAGAGATCATTTCATGGTTGGGGGACGAATCACTTGGGACTTTCGGAGGAGGACAGACGACGAATCTGATTGGGGGAACAAGCTCTTTGTTCTCTCCGCCGCACTAAACATGACCATGTTAAGTATAGAGGCAAGTCCTTGGCATCAGAACGATGTTGGTATTCCGTATCCTACATACTTCCATCCCTCTTCCAAGCGCTCCATTGAGACATGGCAAGATAGGGTACGTGCCATGGACAGGCCGTCCCTTTTCTCGTTCGTTGGAGCACCGAGGCCCGGACTCAGTCATTCGATTCGGGGAGTGATCAAGGACCAATGTATCAAATCAAAGCAGTGCAGGTTGCTAGACTGCAAGGGAACACTGTGTCAAAGACCGCATAAGGTGATGGAGATATTTGAGCACTCGGTTTTCTGTCTGCAGCCGGCGGGAGACTCTTACACCCGGCGCTCTACCTTCGACGCCATGCTTGCAGGGTGCATCCCCGTGTTTTTCCACGAGTATTCCGCGTACACCCAGTACCAGTGGCATCTTCCTTCCAACCACACTTCCTACTCTGTGTTGATTGATGAAGGCTCCATCAAGAACGAGACGGTTCGCATTGAAGAAGTGCTGCTTAAATTCACGTCGAATCAGATCGTCAGCATGAGAGAAACCGTCATCCAAACAATACCTAGGATCGTCTATGCAGATCCACGAGCAAGTTCTATTCCCGACGTTGAAGACGCCTTCGACATTGCAATTCAGGTAGCGTAGAATAACCGTCCTGATCATTCCCCTCTTTTGTCTGCATGTTCTGTGTTTGGTTTTCGCGCTTTTCTCTCGCTCTCTCGCTCTATCTCTCTCTCTCGCTCTCTCTCTTGTAAATTGCGTTTCTGGCTTCCAGGCTTAAGGACTAAGGGTCACAATTGCCACTATCCGCAGGGCGTGATTGACAGAATTACACTGGGGAAGGAAGTAACGCGCACCAATAGTGAAGCGATTTCAAATTCTGAGCTGGACTTCCAGTCCAAGTCCCAACAAGGACAATCGCTACATGAACAAGCCGCTCACAAGTAGAAAGCGTTTAAGAAGAATGAACACGAAACTGGGTTAGCTGCTGCAGAGAGAATGACGATGTTGGCAACATGACAGCCATTGTCTCAAGAGTAATGCTTTCGTGTACCCGTGTTGTTTAGTTTAGCTTTAGTACGAAGCGATTTGTTCTACGAAACGACGATAGAGAGATAGCCGGTATGAGCAGATCGCATCTGGAGCCAGTCTCTGCTTCGAAGTTAACTGTAGGAACATATTTTCAAACCATTCATGTGCAGGATCTTCCCGACTCCGGAATTTGCATTTTTTCAACCCTGATCCTACTCAATGTAATATACTTATGATGCTGAGGCACAAATTGCCATTGACACCTAAACTATGGTGGAGGTGAATGCCAGATAAAGCTACGAAGTCATTAAACAAAACGACTGAATCCTTTGTTTATGTTTTTTTTGCAGCGGTCTTTCCGTAGTGGAGTACAATAGAAACCCACATGCAGTGTCTGACTTTGTACACCATTGAACTCCTGTCTCAACTCCACTGGATCGTTCCACCCTCACACAACCCAACAAGAGCGGTGAATCCTTTCTTTCAAAAGTCTAAAAGCAGAAACCATCGCTGCAAGTTATTACTGAAAAAAATTACACCTTTGTCGGTAGGGTAAGCATTATGCAACTACTCCCTCACGCGTACACCTATGAACAGTACTTCGAAGACACAGCAACACCGACAAAAAGAGAGATCTCAAATCAATATAAACTTAGATATTGATACTTGTGTTTGATTTTTGAAATTAAGAATTTATTACATGTAACAACTATCATCTAATTTTTTTCTCTGCCTTCTCATTTGCTAATTTTACGATATGTCTTCAACTGAACAAGGAAGGGAGGAAGTTTTTCATTTTTTTATTTTAATTTACGACTGGAAATAAAATAAAATAAAATATTGATACGGCATTGTAATGCAACCAATACACTTTATTTCTAGTCCATCTATAGTATTAAAAACAATTAACAGTTACATATCCAATCTTATATAAGATGGTTACACATATTTATATAGCTAGTACAAATATAAAAACATGCATCATGTAAAAAAAATAGAACACATGTGCTTAAGTATTATAAAAGTATTTTAATTTCTAAAATAACTATAAGAACATTGTGCCTATTTTTACCTACAATAAAAAATCATGTGCTAATTTTTTTATTGACATGTCTATACAAATATTTGCACAAAGAAAAATAATAAAAGTAGTAAAATTACTTAATTACAAAAAACTTAATTTCAAGTTGGTACATTTTATACAATTTTATTTTTGATTTGTAATTATATAATGCCAAAAATTATATTCTAAAGATTTAAATATTCAAAAAATAATTTAGAATTGATGAAAAGAAATATTTTTAAAACTATTTAGGATATTGGTGAAATAGTAAAAATATAATAGGATAATACCAAATTTTATATACATGTGTTTTTGAACTTACAAAAAATTCGTAAAATTTCAAAAGCATATATAATTGTATTGATTTGGTTGAGACAAAAAATAAATCTATAAAGTAGAAATTATTAAGATATTTAGAATTTCCATCAAAATTATTATATATTTTACAAAAAAATAATTTATAGGTATTAAGATGATTTGAAAACATGTTCTTCTAAGATAGAGTAGATTTTTCTTATAATAATAAAAATCTAGGTAAATTATTTTAATTTCTAGAAATTAAAAAATCATTAAATTAATTTGATTAATAGAATTTATTTAATAAAATAAGATATAATATTTCAAAAATAACTTCATTGAATAAAGTTCAAAAGTTGTAATAGTTTTAAAATGTGTATATATTTTTATGTAAGTTTTTAATATTTTGTATACAATGGTTATGTTTTTTTAATACAGTATTATAATATGTATTTTTTCAACATAAAATAAGTTTATACAATGTGCTATATTACAAAAGTATTTTTTTATTTTTTATTTTTAATAACATTGAATAATTATCTTTAAGCCATTTCTACTAATTATAATATTTGTAATATGCATCATGTCTTTATAAGAGTTAAAATAGACCTTCATCTTAGAATGTAACAGAATTTCTTTCAAAGTTTGAAAGAATTATAATTGTAAATAAAATAAAATAAAATAAATCTTAGATAGACATATCATCTCCTTTCTCTTTCCTTCCATTTCTCTTGTGCTACATATCCTCATATATACACAATAATATCATTTTTTTATTATTATTTTGTATGTAACTTTCTATCATGGACATACATGTTTATTTAGATAAGAAATGTTAGATAGAAAATAAATGTAAGTAGATTTGATATAATCTTGTGGCAAAACTTCTTAGAAGCATCATAGATGGATATTTGATTTTAAATGTGTTTGTAGTTGATTAATAGGTTAGAAACTTGAATAATAAATTAATCACATGTCGTACTTATAATTAGCTTATGGAACAAGCTAACTATGTGGCATACATGTAAAAAACTTTTTTTATAAGTTAGACACAAATCTTGTAAGTTGAACACGTGTTGGAAGTCCTATAGAATATTGCCATGTAGTTCCTAGTTAGATAGTATATATAGATGCAATAGTGAAGCCTTTTTCACTCTTGTCAAAGCCTTTCGAGTCCTTAGTCTTCTTTCAAGACCTTCTAGTCTTCTTGTCCTTGGTAGTAGCAATTCTAGTTTAATATTATACCATCTTTGAATGATTTTCTAGTCTTTGTAAGTAATACAAGAGTGTATTGATCTTCTAATTCTTTGAAATATTTATCTTTGATAATTTGATAAGAGTACTAACTTATTGTTCTTGTGTTGTTTTAAAAGTGAGTGAATTACACTACTTCTATTATTGTATTTTGAAGGTTGTGGACTATTCAACTTTAAACTAACATTTTAATTTTATAATATTGATTTTTTTTAAAGAAATTAGACTATCTCTCATTTTAGAAACTTTAATTGATTATTAAAAGTTTTAGATTACTCTTTTTTAACTTGACTTATAGATTTTTTTGAGTTGTCTATGAAAGAAAAAATTATGGATGCTACTATCAACAAAAGTAAGAATAGATTTGTAAGTATTATAAATCTTCTTGAGCTTTTTAATATTCTTAAGGTAGAAATTTTATGTATTTTTAATATTAACCTTAGAGGTAGTATTTTGATACTTATGAAAGAGGTCAATAATAAAGTTTAAAGTCCATGTTAAGAAGTTGTGTAATTAAAAGAAGAACATAAATAAAGCTCATAATTAAATCCACAAAGTCTTCCTATTCCATATATGATAGAAGCAAGGATAAGAATGTCTAAGAAATTTGATGGAATAAGATCAAAATTTCAAGGATTTCTACAATAAGTAAAGTTCTATCTAAAGTTGTATCTTTTTTTATTACCCTGATAGATTTATTGAAGTTGAATTCATAAGTGCCTTTCTTTATAGGAATATTCTTTTTTTGTTTGCATCCTTGATTGAAAAAAATTCATATTATTTCTATGATTTGAATTTATACTTAAAAGTTTATATAATCACTTTTAAAAAAAGTAATTAAAAAATAATAATAGAGACCAAATATATATCTTTATGATAAGGATTTTTATTCAGCCACCATATATGATGTTGAATTCTAAACCTTCCTTGTGACATTGTTAAGAGGATAAGTATTAGTGACATGAATCTCAAAAAAGAGAATCCTTGATACACTCTTGTGTCACTAAAGAGAACTAAAAAGTGACTCAAAAGGTAATGTAATATTAATTAAAATGGCTATTGCCAAAAACAAGAAGATTAGAAAGTTTTGAAAGAAGACCAAAGACTAGAATGGCATTGACAAGAGTGAAGAAGGCTTCACTCTTGCCTCTATATATAATCTTAAATAAGAACTACATGGCGATGTCTTATAGGACCTCCAAAATATGTTGACTTTGTTAGCTACATGACTTAACTTTCAAGGCAAGTTATCTATGTATGCTCCACATCGTTAGCTTGTTCGACAAGCTATTATGTAGAGTTAACTTGTTCCACAAGCTATCAACGTGTAGTTAACTTATTGGCTAAGTTTCCAACCTACAAACACATCTAAAGTCAAAACTGCATCTATGAAGCTTTTAGAAAGCTACACTAAAAGACTTTATGAAATTAATCTATATTGACCTACTTCTATCTAATCATATAAGTAATTATTAAGATAATTATATATATCCATGACATTACTTCCCTTTCTAGAGACGAGTTCCACGAGGAGCGGTCTTCATATATTGAAGATGTCCAAGATGCGGTGAATTATATTTGCTACATACTCTGATCTTTTCTCTCTTCGAAGATAATTGATAGGTACTTTGAGCCATTGATAGTTTCCTATATTAAGATAAGAAGACCACCTTGTTATTTGGTTGTTGTTGAAGCCTTTATAACTTTGTTCAAATAAAATATTTGAAACACCATTAAGAATTGTTCCTACTTCTAATAAAATCACCAAACAATGGGAGTCTCTTTCAAGGTTGTGATACCAAATATGTTGTATCTTTCCATCTATTCAAGGAAAGACATGTCATTCTTGAGGATCTTCGTCTTGATTTTATCGTCTTGAAGGTTGTAACAATCATAATGTCTCATCTGATAAGTCTACAAATGAAAGCTCTTGAGTTGAATTTGCTCGTTGTTGGTTCTGCATCTCCTTGGCGTCACAAATACACATAAGCTACAAAGAAAGATAGAAGGTAGAATATTATCTTCATTTAATCTTATTTCTTTTATACCAAAGATTTTTTATTCTTTATCTTAGTTTTGATGGATTTTGTTGATGAAAAGCTTCAATTTTCTTTGCTGCATTTATAAGATTCTTTGATGCCTCCCATGTGCATTCACTAACATCATATCTATATTAATGAACAAGATATTCTAACTTATTTCGGTGCCGCCTTGAGTCTAAGACTTCTTCTAATTTAAATTCTTGATTATAATTTACTTCTATAGGAGGAAGTGGCATTTATCTTCTTTCCAAAATATTCACTGTCTTATACGGCTCAAGAAGAGACACGTGAAATACAGGGTGAATCTTCATAGACTTTGATAGATATAATCAATAAGAAATAGGATTGATTTGTTCACAAATAAAAAAAGGTCTCAGCCTACTATAGTCCAATTTATCACAAAGACGAGTAGTCTTGATATTGCAATGAAATAACCATACCTTGTCACCTATGTTGAATTGTGGTTACTCCTTGTGATAGGTATCTGCATTAGTCTTTTGTCGTCCTTGAGCTTCTTTTAATTGTATCTTCATTGTTGCATATAACTCTAACAAATGATTTACTAAATCTTTTGTTGCAAGATTATCAACTTTTAAAAAGTCAAAAGTATTAAGTCATGGATGATAACCATAATTAGTAAAAAAAAATATTTATTGAGTAG